GAAGCGTTGGAAAAATAGACAAACATGCAAACATTTGACATAAAATTGACACAAAAACAAAACACCAAGTTTGCAGACTTTTCTTTCAAATGTTTGCTTAAAAATTCAAAAAAAATAAAAATAAAAAAAATACCATTTAAATAAAGCATTAGTTTTATTTTAATTATTTTATTTAGAATAAATAAAAACAATATTTATCGGTCAATGTCTACTAACTTCATAGTGAAGATAGTAGACATTGACCAATAAATATTGAGACAGTTATAAAAAAACAACAACAGATTTGTTGAAATTAAAACTTGAAAGAAAATAATCCAAAAAACTTATATGCCTCTATATATAAATATTTCATAAAAAAGCATCTTCATTATATAGGTATTTTAAAATAAGGCTCTTCTATCTAGGAAAAGTAATACTTTCAGCATTGCCATGCAAACCCTAATTCCAAGGGCTGATATATATATATATATATATATATATATATATATATATATATATATATATATATATATATATATATATTATATATATATATATATATATATATATATATATATATATATATATATATATATATATATATATATATATATATATATATATATATGTATACTAGCTGAGATTGGACTCGTAAAAATACAGATCTTTGTAAGTCTATTCAAAACCTAACTTTTTTATACTTTTTCCGTATATATCCTTGTATTCCGGATCCAGAAAAATACGGGTCTTTATTCCACATCGATCAAACTTTAGAATATTATCAAACGCTAATCAAAATAATATTAAAAGTTAAGCCAAAAAAGTTTTGCGTGTTGACTTCAATTTGTGGCAAAATAAATATTTATGCGTCAAGTTTCTTTTTGCATTTATCTTACATTTTTTGATTAATTTTAATTATGCATACAATTGCATAAAAAGGTAAAAAGTTGGAACAGGTATATCATTTCACGGATAAGAGTTTGTATTTATTACAATAGTAGTAATTAAATAGTTTTTGTCTTTATTAGAATCCTATAAAAATGTAATCCATATATCTTTAATAGAAGTTTTCCTAAAAAATTTAAATAAAAACCTAATATAGTTTGTTTTTCTAGTTTTTTTGCCATAAAGTGACGTCACATACGCAGAAAAAATTGTGGCTTCAACGATTTATGAAAAATTATCTCATTTTTTTGGTTTAGTGGCTTTTGTTAAGAGCTTTTAAATTTTGCGTCAAATTATCTCATTTCAACATATATTTTGTATCATCCATACTGCAACCGTTTTTTAAAGCACCTTAAGGTAAAAAAAATCAATTTTGACTTTTTTACAAAATAAGCTAGTTTAGATGTCTAAAAACATTAAATATATATTTTCAAAGAGTTTTGAAAAAAATTCATAAAAGTTATTTGTTTCATCAAAGAGTTTTTCCTAATATTTTTTTTTAATTACATTTTTCTCAAAATATGTAATAAGCATATTAAGGCGTTTTGAAAAACACCTGCAGCATATATTTATAGTAAAAAAATAAATATTGCAAAAAAAACTTTTAATTGTCAAAAGAAAGTTTTTTCTAGCTGCGGGCTTTTCATTTTTTATTTTTGCCTCCACAGCAGCACCTTCAGGAGTACCAAGACTGTCTTTTCTTTAATAAAGTTTTTTCTTTAATAAATTTCAGACAACTTTTTTTTCAGACCATCTGCAGCTTATTAGGACCTGAGCACATTAATAATCTCAATCATGACCACAACAAATTTTTTCTCCTGGTTTTTTCGATGTTTTTAGAAATTTTAGCTTTTTTAAAATCTTTTTGTTTGTTAAAGTGTATAATATTGTTAAATATGTTTGTATATAATCACTATAAAACTTCAAAAGTATTTCGCATTTTAAAATAATCGCAAAAAACTAAAAAAAGTTGCCAATGGTAGGACTTGAACCACTAACTCTTGTGGTTAATTCTTGCCACTAACTCGGTTACAATAGCCGCCAAGGGTTCCCTGTCAAACACGCTTGAAGGGGCACTACTACTACTACTACTGCTGCTGCTGCTACTACTACTAACACTATTAAGTTCGGCAATAATATATATACATATATATGTATATATACATATATATGTATACATATATATATATATATGTATGTTTGTATGTATGTATGTATGTATGCATGTATGTATGTATGTATGTATGTATGTATGTATGTATGTATGTATATATGTATGTATATATATATGTGTGTATATATATATATATTTATATATATATATATATATATATATATATATATATATATTTATTTTTTTCTTAAGCCAGCTTTTCCAATTTTAAAGCCAAATGCTACAACAATTAATTGGACAAATACAGTTCCAAGCAATAACTTTCATTTGGATTTAAGTTCATGTCGCCATGCATTAAGCACATATATTATTCCAGATATTCTGCATTTTTTGGCTTTTGTTATTGGTTTTTACTACTTTCGAGTGAAAGAGCATGAGGCACTTTATGCCCTTATGGAAAAGGTAAGATTAAAACTAAATAATATATAAAGCTATATGTAAAGTCCATTCGATTTTTTTATTTTTTTCAAGGTAAATTTGCTCATGTTTTTTAAAACTTTGGAACATTTTTTTAGACAATTTTTCTATGGAATGAAATAACTTTATTCTGTAATGTATTGCCCATTTTGAGCAATGACCTTTTGCCATCTTTCAGACAGCATCATAATTCCACATTCATAAAACTTCTGGTTATTATCAACAAAAAACTGAACCAGGTACAATTTGACATCATCATCATTATTGAAATTTTTACTATTTAAGGAATTTTGCAAAGATCGAAATAAAAAGTAATCAGATGGTGCGAGGTAAGGACTATATGGTGAATGTGGAAAAACATCCCAACCAAGCTCCAATAATTTTTGCTGAGTGAATAAAGATGTGTGTGGCTTTGTATTGTCATGATGGAATACAACACCTTTTTGATTTGTCAATTCAGGTCGCATTTCTTCAACTTTTTGTGACCTTGCGATGCATTTTTTCCTTTCCGGAAATAAAAAAGTAAAATATGATGAAAATGTTTGTTTTGATTTTCCATTTTTTTGAAAAACTGCGCAACCGATCAAAATTTTTTTTTACTGATTGTCAGTTGAAGTACCAACTATCAAATAACAAATGTGTTTGACATTTCGATTATGTCAGCGAACCTAAAAATTCAACTAAAGCCATCTATGAGTGAAATCTGTAATTACTTAGTTGCCAACCCAATTATAATCTAGGCATGACTGATTTTAAATAATAATGATGACAGGAAGCAATCTCCTTTCAGCCTTTGCTTAGAAAGCAAATTCCACAAGGCAGCATTCAATTTTTCAAAATGGTGTAACAATTCTTGAATGGTTACACAAAATTTTCATTGTCTTAAGAAAAAAAAATTTAAAATGAAATAATAGTTAAGTTAGATAAACAAAGAGAGCCTATAGAGCTTTACTATTAACTTTTTATTATTTTTTTAAAGAATAATAAAAAATTAATAAAATTAGAGAGTTAGGTAGTTTAGTTAGGGTTTCTGTTTTTTAAAATTAACAAAATGAAGCAATATAATAAATTTATTGCATAATTAAACAATTTAACAATTATTATAATAGTCTATAATGACCCATTATTATAATAAACAATGATTTATTAATAAAAGCTACCTTAAGGATAACAGGATAATTTTATTTTAGAATCTTTGTCAAAAACAAAGTTTGTCACCTCTATGTTGAATTAAGATATCCTAATAATGCAGTAGTTATTGAGAGTAGGTCTGTTTGTCCTTTAAAATCTTACACGATTTGAGTTTATTCCGTCGGATAGGAAGGTGTCTATCTACAATTATAAAATTACTTAAGATTTTTAGTACGAAAGGAATAAAGTTTCATATATTTAATTAAAAATATCTAAAGAATTAAAGTTTCAAATATTTAATTAAAAGGAGTATAAAGAGGGTTAATTAAGTAGACCAAATAGTCTTCAAAATTATTAATATTGGTTCAAATCCAGTACCTTCTGTTTATGACAAATTAAATATTTTTAATAAGTTTTTGTTTATTACTTAATAAATTTATTTACAAAGATATTCCTGACGTAAATCAACGTTCTCTCCAAGAAAGTGCTTCACCATGTAGCAATAATTTAATAATTTTTCAAGATGATACAATGTTTTATATTGTAAATATTCTTGTCTTAGTTGGGTGATTATTTTTGGGTGATTATTTTCTGTCATTACTAAAAAGTGGGTGATTATTTTCTGTCATTATTAAAAAAACTATAATAAATTTTTATTAGAAAATACTTTTATTGAAGTTATATGAACATTAATACCAGCTGTTATGTTAATTATTATAACTATTTCTTCTTTATTTTTATTATATTCCATTGATGAAAATGTTGAACCATCTCTAACTATAAAAATAGTTGCTCATCAATGATATTGATCAACTTTTGAATTTAAACAAATATGTGTTTTATAATTAAAATTTCCATGAGATCAATTTTCGTAACAACTATTTTTTCTTTTTTTTTGCTTTTTAATTCTTTCAAATTAGCTTTTTCGAATATTAGAAATTCCTTTTTTGTAAAAAGTAAAATAATTTAAATTCTATTTTAAAAGTTTACAAAAGTTTATGTTGTCAGTTAATACGATCAATTTTTAATAAAATAATTTTCTGGGAATGCGATGTTCCGGGAATTTCATAGAAAAAAATTTCCGGGATTTTCATAAAGTCAAATACTCATCTATGTATGATACCTACTACAAATTTAAATCAAGGTGATTTTAGATTACTTGAAACTGATGATCTTGCTTTGCCAGTTGATAAAAAAATTAAATTGATTGTTTCGTTGTCCCAAGCGTTGATGTTATTTATTGTTGAACTGTTCCTTCGTGTAAAAGTAGATGTAATTCCTGGTTGTTTAAATCAATTAAATTCCATTATTTATTGACCTGGTAAATTTTCTAATCTAAATCATTTTTTTATGATTATCTCTATTTACTCTGTTTCTCAAGAAAAAATTATAAATTGATCAATTAATAAAACTTATTGATCAATTAATAAAACAGTTAGGAAACAATCTAAGCTTGACTTTGATGATGAGCAACAGATAAATTAATCAACAACAGCAATTCCAAGAACAACAACAGCAGCAAACCAAGTCAAGTGTAAAAAGTGCTATATAAAAGGCAACAAGTATTATTGCACCAAAAAGTGCACAAGTGATAACTCAACTCAACCTCGAGCACCTCTTAAAGACTCAACATCATCACATAATTAAAAATATTTTCTTTATTAATTAGTTGTTTTTTTAATTGTTATAATTGGTTGCATTTTTTAATTAGGTATTCTTTTAATTACAATTTGCATATTTTATTTTCTCCAAATATGAGGGCAGAATAGGGTTGGGAATCTTGGGATTCCACGGTTTTCAAAATCCCGGCATTAAATGTTTAATTTTTTTTTTAAATCGTTCTTGGTTAAACATTTTAAAATTAAAATTTCTTTGCTTGAGATTTGACTATTTCATATTGAAAATTCCTGAATTATTTGTTTCTTTCGATTGCAATCAAATTCAAACTTTTCAAATTCGAGCAAAATCTAAATTTTAATTTACAAATTACAAATACAATTTGAAATTCTTACAATTATGTTTTTGAATAATTGGATTTGACTCAACAAAAGGTCTATGCACTTACATTCTATCCATAAAATTAATCCCACAACAGCTACTGTTTCAGCAAACACACCAGATGAACCACCAACAAAAAAAACTAAAATGTTAACTAAATATTTTTCGATGTTGAAGCAAAAAGAAAAATCATTTTCTGCAACACTTGCATGATTGACAGCTCTTAATGGTATTTTGTTTACCCAAAAGTTTACCCAAAACAGTCAACACTGTGCGTAAAAGTTGTAAATTACATAAATAAAATTAGGAATTTAAAAAATTCCTGAATTTTTAAATTCATATTTTAAGAATTTAAAAAATTACTGAAATAACTGAAAAAAAAATGCTGAATTTGGTGTAGGAGAAAGATTTTCTTTATCTTTTGATGAATGGACATCACTAAGTAACTGTTGCTATATGAATATTAATTTACATCCACGAAATTGTCAGTTCTGCAGCTTAGGCTTAATTCTTATAACAAGATCAATGACTGCAGATAAGTGTATTGAGCTATTAGAACAAAAGCTTGCACAACATGGACTTGGTTTGCGAAAAGATATTGTTGGTATTATAACTGACGGAGCAAGTGTGATGAAAGATTTTGGGAGAATATTACCTGTAAATCAACAGTTATGTTTTACCAATGGTGTGTAACCGACCGTTATTGAAGTACTATATCAAAAGCAGAATATAGAAAGAGAAATAGATCAGCAATTCAACAAAGATACACAATCAAAATAAAAACAAATTTTCAGAAAGTAACTCTTGCTAGGATGATGATTTTTCTGACAGCGATTAATTGGTCAATCTCGATGCTAGTCATAATAAACATTGAAGAAACCAATGTAATCCTCGGAATTGGGAAAAAAAGAGGCCTGCAATAAATTGTCGAATTCAAATAGTTAGGCGTCGGCATCAGGTTGGCAAAAAAATTTTGACACAAAGAGGTTACCATAAAACATAGAAACAAGAAAGGTTGTCAATTTTTTGCTGTCCTCAAACACTTTAAGGTCAGCATTGCTGAATGCTGACTCAAAGTCCAGGGACTGCCAATGTGATCTTACTGAGGTAAGTTGTGGTCCAGTGATCAAAAAAGTATGAAAATTTATAGTAATATTCAGACAAAAAAACTATATCTTGCAGAAGTATGTTGAGGCTGAATTTAAGAAGCAAATAATTCTGATAAAAGACTGCAAGGCTAGATGGAACAGTCATTTGTCAATGCTTCAACATGTCTATTTATTAAAAAATTGTATACAAAAGGCATTAACAGACAAAAGTATACTGGAAGGTGAATCTTTGGCTTTATCTTAATAAATAGCTTTTTCTAAACATATTTTGAATGTGTTATTAGTTTTATTAAAATACTTAATAATAGGTTAAAATCTTTCAGGAACAGGTGTTTAAAAATCCTAGGATTAATCCTGAGACCCCAGGAATAAGTAAATGTAATCCCAAAATCCCAGGATTAAAAATATAGCATGGGATTACAAACCTTAGGATAAAATGAAATAGTTTTTACAAATAAATGTTTTTAAAATTTTTTTTTTTAATTATTTGATTTTTATATATTTAAACACACTTCAAAATTCTCTACAACTTGAAAAAAAGAGGTTTAAAATTTTTTTGACAAACAAGGCAGCAGCATGTAGAAACAAGTTGAGTCCGATACTACCTGGGATGTGGAGGGAGTAACATCAGAACTAATTGGTTACAAGGCAACTGCTCTACCTCTACACCGCTACTGCAAATTGACAGAGCCATTTTTCTTTATTCATTTTTCTTTGTCAATATTGTTGTTTTTGTTGACTTTAGGG